AAGGGGGGTTGTTACTATGTGAGGGTGAAAAGGGTAACTATTGCATTGTTCTGTACACCTGAAACTAACAATAAAAAAAACAAAACAAAAAAAAACACTGGTTATAAGGATGTTCAAGGAACGTAGTGAGAACTTCAACAAAGAGATAAGAAAGGACATAGAAACCATAAAAAAGAACCAGTCAGAAGTGAAGACTACAATAACTGAAATGAAGAATATACCAGAAGGAATCACCAGCAGACTAGATGAAGTAGAAGATCGAACCAGTGATTTGGAACACGAAGGGAGCAGAAAACACCCAATCAAAACAGCAAAAAGAAAAAAGAATTAAAAAAAATGAGGATAGTTTAAGAGATCTCTGGGACAACATCAAGCAAAACAACATTTACATCACAGGGGTACAAGAGGGAGAAGAGACAAGCAAAGGATTGAGAACCTATTTGAAGAAATAATAACTGAAAACTTTCCTAACCTGGCGAAGGAAACAGACATACACATCCAGGAACTGCAGAGAGTCCCAAACAGGCCCACACCTAGACACATTAAAGTTAAAATGGCAAAAGTTAGAGAATCCTAAGAGCAACAAGAGAAAGGCAACTACTAATTTATAAGGGAGCTCCCATGAGATTGTCAGCTGATTTCTCAACAGAAACTTTGCAGGCCAGAAGGGATTGGCAAGAAATATTCAACATGCGGCCAGCCAAGTGGCTCAGTTGGTTAAAAGTTGGCTTGGAAGCACGAGCTCTGAGCAGCAGGGCCACAGGTTTGGTTCCCACATGGGCCAGTGATGCTGAGCTCTCTACAGCTAAGATGGTGAACAACATCTCGACCTGGAGCTGGGCTGCCATGAGTGGCTGGCGATGGCGTAGGCTGCAGCCCCTGCTCCAGTGGGCTGCCATGAGCTAATGTGAGTGGCCGGCAGCCAGTGTGAGAGCTGCCGTGAGCAGCCGTCTACTGACTGCCTCAGCCGGGAAGAGCGCAATGATCATAATACCAACATGGACCAGTGAAGCAATGTCCTCCAGAACTAGACTGAAGAACAAAAGGACAGCAACTAGTCTGTTCCCCTTCCCCGATTCCCCAACGCTGTTCCCCTTCCCCAATTCCTCAATAAAATCTTAAAGAAAAAAAATATTCAACATGATGAAAAGCAAGGACATACAACCAAGACTACTATACCCAGCAAAGCTATCATTTTGAATCAAAGGGCAGATAAAGAGCTTCCCAGACAGGAAAAAACTAAAGGAGTTTATTACCACCAAACCAGTATCACAAGGAATATTAGAGAGGCTTCTTTAAGATGGAAAAAAATCAAAATTATGAATAATGAAATGGCAATAGCTACATATCTATGATTACTTTCCATGTAAATGGATTAAATGCTCCAATCAGCAGACACAGGAAGGCTGAATGGATAAGGATTTAATGCTCCAATCAGCAGACACAGGAAGGCTGAATGGATAAGAAAACAAAACACTTACAATATGCTACCTACAAGAGACTCGCTTCAGATTGAAAGACACATACAGACAGAAAGTAAAGGGTAAAGGGATGGAAAAGGTATTTCATGAAAATGAAAAAAACAAAAAAAGCTAGAGTAGCAATACTTATACCAGAAAAACTCAGCTTTAAAACAAAGGCTATAAGAAGAGACAAAGAGGGATGCAGTAATCCCACTTCGGGGTTTTTATCTGAAGAAACCCTATCGCTACTTCGAGGGGAAGTGTGCATCCATATGTTCATTGCAGCATTGTTTACAATGGGCCGAGATGTGGAGGCAGCCTGGGTGTCCATTGATGGAAGAAGAGATAAAGAGGACTTGATTCATGTATACAATGGAATATTGCTTGGCCATGAAAGGGAATGGGTTCTTGCCATCTGCTGCAGCATGGATGGACCTGGAGGGAATTGTGCTGAGTAGAGTGTCAGACAGAGAAAGACAGATGCAACGTGATTTCGCTCATATGTGGAATCTATATAACAAAATAAACAAACAAAACAGAAACAAACTTATAGACACAGAAAACATTTTTATGGTTAACTGATGGGAGGGGTATTGGAGGTGTGGGTGAAAAGGAGAAGGGATTAAGAAGTACATACTGGTTGTTACAAAGTAGTTATGGGAAAGCAGGGTTTAGCATAAGGAATATAGTCAATAATATTGTAACAACTATGTATGGTGTCAGATATGTACTAGATTTGGTGGGGTTATAGATGGAAGAGGGTGAAAAACGTGAAAGGACTGAAAAATACAAATTGGTAGTTACAAAACAGTCACGGGGATGTAAAGTAGAGCACAGGGAATATAGTCAATGATATGGTAATAACTATGCATAGTGCCAGGTGGGTAGTAGGCTAGTCAGAGGGATCATTTCTTAAATATATAAATGTCTAACCATTATGCTGTACACCTGAAATTAATACAAAATAATATTGAATGTCAACTGTAATTAATAAATTTAAAAGGGATGGAAAGGTGAAGGGAAATAAGAGGTCCAAATTTCCAGGTATAAAACAAATACATTATGGGGATGTAATGTCCAGCATAGGGAATAGTCAATAATATTGTGACAGCATGGTATGGTGTCAGATGGTTGCTGGATTTATCATGGTGATCACTTCTTTAGGTATATAAATGTTGAATAACCATGGTGTACCCCTGAAACTAATATGATATTGTATGTTATATTTTTAATACAAATCTGAAAAATAAGTAAAATAAAATAAAAATTACACCTGTCAACAATATTCCTATCACCTCCTCTGAATTCTTCTCCATAGCACTTACTATCATCTAAGGTATATTTTATTCATGTATTTTGCTTGACTCCAACCCTGGAAGATATGCTGTATTCACTGCTTTATTCCCAGCATCAAAAACAATTCCTGACACATAGTATGTACTCAAAGATGAATTGTAAGCTATTTAAGTTTCTTAAAAGCTACATGTCTTTTATATTAAGAATTTTAAATAATTTCCGAGACAGTAGAGAAAATATTGCATTATAAAATGCCTGTTTATTTTAATAGGGATTCAGTTGATCTTGAAATTAGTCAATTCTGTACTATTATATTTTAACTAAGTCAGGTCACTTAATTAAAATAAGTTCATATGTGATACACTATGATAACTAATTTTAAATAAAAACTACAATCATGATTTGCCTTCTCCAAATATATGTTCTCTCAGGTAGTCCATCCGAGCATCCTTTGTTGACAGTGCCATAGAGTTCCATTCAAAATGAGGGATCTGTAAAATAAGTAGTGTAATTTGAATGGAATTTTTAAGCAACAACAAAAAACATCAAGGAAGACTTCTAAGCACTACTGAACACAGCTATAGGAACCCTGTGGAATTAGTTTACATAAGCATAGCCTTCGAACCCTTTTTGGAAGCCAAGTGGGTTCTTCCTGACAAAGCCCAGAAGAACTTTTTCTGCCTCATAGTTTCTTTCATCTTGTTCCTATAATACCAACAATGGACATTTTTTCCTATGTACCTTTCCTACATTCACACGCTAGCCATTTTCTCTTATAACTCTCTCCATTTTGTAAGATAAATGTACAAATCAACAGATCTTCTAGAGACAGGAAATAATGATTTTTACTCATTCTTCTTACCCCCAAAATGGAGGATATTTTGTTTCAGAGGTATTTTAATATAATTTTTTAAATATTAAAAAGAGGTAATTCTAGAACTTTAACATTAAAAGGTAACACATGTACAGGCAAGGGTCTCTAGTTTTTTTAAAGATTGATTTATGTGAGTAACTCATACCTGAATTACACGATAGCCCAAAATTTCCAAATGTCGTTTTTTCATAGCAGATTTTCCTTTTAAGTGAGGGATGTTTCTACAAAAAGCTCTTAAATCCAAAAACTCCAAAGCAATTCTACATAAGATAGAAATATGTTATTTACTTCTAAAATCAAAATGAGGAACTGAGTAATTATAAGCCTTTCAGTAACAAAGTTGCATCTTTATAAACAAAAGCAAAATTAATATAAATGAGTATACCGAGTTATTTTTCTACTTAGATTAGTAATTAAAGACAAGCCTATTCATTAGTAGAATTACACCAAATTGTAGTAAATATCTCCATGCTTTTATCCATTTGTTTCTTTGTCCAATATAATTTATTATGCACCTACCATACATAAGAAAGACACTGAGGGAAACAAAGATAAATAGACATAGCTTATATTCTGACAGAGAACACATGATATATAGTAAGTAACTGTAATGCAGTTTAAGAAGTGGCTAAGTGCTATCAGAAAAGTAGAGAGGTATGGACGCTGCAAAGAAGATGACAGTATTTGCTTCTGCTGAGGTCAACTAGGTTAGCACTTTAGTTAGAGAGATGCTAGGCTTTAGACAATGAAGGATGGGCATTAATGGAGAAAGCATAGGAAAAACAAAAATAGAGATAGAACACATGAGATAGTTGAGAAGCAGATTCTACCACACCACAAATCCTTGATAAATGAGATCATTAAATTATGCCAAATTTAACATTTAGATGACAAAACCTGAAACTAAGAAATAAGTTACCTTTCAGCTCCTGGTGGCAGCCTTGATCTAACTATTGGGGTATTTGATTCCCAGTGACTTGCTGGCAGTTTTACCAAAGTTATATTATGGTTACCATAAGGAAGAGGTTTTTTTCTTTTATCCAAGATACACTCAAAATCTATAAGCAAGTACAGAAATCAACAGTATGAATTAGGTAAATTCTTACAGGTAAAAGTTTAAGATATTTTGGGTGGTTGTTGGCTGAAACTACAGCAATCATTTCAGATCATGAAGTGAAAGCTACATGTTGAGGATGGTAGATTATAATTAAATGGAAGGATCCTGGATCTTTAATGTTTGTGGAGCTGGCATCGCAGCCCCAGACACCATGGGAGGAAATACATTTTGGTAAGTTCCTGTTATTTGTGGACTTTTGTCAGTCATAATCAAACCTAATGCTGAAAAATATAAAAACAAACAACTGAGAGTATGTGTTTTGTAGTGCAAGATAAGGGTATTACTGACCATCTGGTCCAGCCTCCTGCCAAGTACAGAAATCAAACACATACAGCATCATCTGACCATCCAGCCTCTGCTTGAACATTACTTCACAAGGCAGCCCATTTTCATTTTTCAGCAAGTCATAAAATACTCTGTATACTCGAGTTAAAATATTCTTCCTTTAATTTTTACTTTTATCCTAGAGATAGAGACATCCAATTCTTTCATATCACAATCTTTCAAATATTTTAAGTTATGCTCTCCATAAGACTTCTCTTTTTCAGTCTAAACATCCTACCTTTTTAAATTAAATTTATTGAGCACTTACTATGTCCCAAGGGTAGGACTAAATGATTTTCATGCAATATGTTGGTTAATCCTATTAAGCAGGGGTTATTATCCCCGTTTTACAAGTGAAAAAACTAATAAGGTTCAGAGGTTCAGGACCTTCCTCAAGGCTTGAAATCCATGCAGTCCCAGTCTTCTCTAGTTTTTTCTATGACATGATTTCTAGATCCTTTGTCTCTAGGCCTTATTTGTCACTGTCTCTCATAAAATGCAACACTCAAAAAAAAAGAATACAATACTGAGATGTGTCTAAAGGACAGAATACGGTGAGACTACCAACTCTCTTGTTATTATTAATACAGTTTAAAAGAGTATTTTATTTTTGGCAACCATTTATATCAAGCTTACAACCTTTAAAATACCCTGTATGTATACAGATGTTTTCTAAACCTAATTTAGAAAATCTATGTTAATCCTCTTAAAATTTCATCTTTTTATTTAAGCCTACCACTTGAATTTAGCAATTTTTAAAAATCTTATATTGCCATCCAACATATCACTTAGCTTTCCAGCTTTGTCATCCACAACTAAATCGGAATGCCTCTGCAATTACACCACTAAGAAACAAGATTAACCAGGTTAGAGTTGAGCACAAAACTATGAAAATCCTCATCCATGGCAGTAATCCAATTTAGTTTCTGAGATGAACTTAAAACAATGAAATTGACATAAATCATTTCCCTAACTTTAGAGCACTGAGTGGAAAGGACATAATCTTTTTTTTTTTAAGATTTTATTGGGGAATTGGGGGAGTAGAACAGTGTTGGGGAATTGGGGAAGAGGACCAGCCAAGTTGTTGTTCTTCAGTCTTCGTTGTGCAGGGCACCAGTCGCCATCTGGCTTCCTGTTGGCAGCTCGTGGCCTCTAAGCTCAAGGTGCTGTGTTTAACCTTAGATGCAGGTGCACATAGCCACCATCCCAGGCGGGAGTTGAACCAGCAGCCTTGTTGTTGAGAGCGCATGCTCTATCCACTGAGCCATCCGGGCAGCAGCTCAGCTCAAGGTGCCCAATTCAGTTTCGGTTGTGGGTGGGTGTAGCCCACCATCAAACAGGCAATCTTGTTGTTACACCAGCTGAGCCATCATGCCACCTGTTGGCAGCTCAGTGACAGCTCAGCTCAGGTGCAGCGTCACTGGCCCATGTAGGAATCGAACCAGTGGCCCTGTTGCTCAGAGCTCACGTTCTTAAGCTAACTCTTAACCAACTGAGCCACTCGGCCAGCCCAAGGACATAATCTTTTGAAGATCCAGAAATGTCCAATGAATCTAAATCTTGGTTTTACATACTTATAATTGGTGAAAGACTGAGTTTAATTTTTTTTTTTTAAATAGCAAAATGCTGATGGTTATAAAAGCTAGGTCATTGGGGACTTAAGGATTCATTGCACTGTTCTTTCTACTTTTGTCTCTTGGAAATTTTCAAGATAATGTGAAAATATTCAAACTTTTAAAAAATTCCAGTTGATGAGATGATTAAGGACTTACCTATTGTGTGGTAATACGGTGTAAGAACTGAGGCTTTTACACAATTGATTCCTCCTAGTATCTCTGCTAACATTTTATAAATATGCTGTTGTACTCCATTCATGCTGCCTATATCTTTATGAAAATAAAAATAATTAGTTAATCGTTTTTTGAATTAAAATTATCCAATTCTACAAACTAAAAAATAAAAATTACTATTTCCAACAAGAACTTCAATGTAATACCATATGCAATGACACTAAATTCAGTATAAAACAAGTTCTTTGCTCTTTACCAAGAGGTTTAATGTCCTAAATATTAAGAAATTCTTATAACAAAAATCTTACCTACAAAATGATTCCATTAAATAGGTCATGGCACTCTTGGGAACTCTGGTGTCATGGTTAAAGTTTAACAATAATAACAATGTACTACCTAATAATTTACTTTATAATTAAACTTCACTTTCTGATCCAAAGAAAACTCAAACCTTTATTATAATGTTGTTGACAGAAGCGGTCATGAAACCATGGAATCTGATACTCAGGACATTCCAAGCAGACTGCTCTATTTAATTCCATAAGACGAAACTGGACCCTCATATTTAGAGAGGAACATAAAACTGAAATTAAAAAATATATTAATGGATTTTGATAGCCTGGACCTAGCAAAAACAATCCATTTGCTCACACTCATTTATCCCCATTATTAGTTGATGCTTTTATTCTCATAAAATCATTTCAGTTGCAGACACATGCTTTATATTTTTAAATTATTACATTCAATGACATGAGTAGGACTCTTTTGTTTCGCTAATTATGAATATTAAAACTACATTTTAAAAAATACTACCAAAGAATTTTCATTGACCTAATATCCCACAGTTAGGAATCTGTCCTCAGTAAATAAAAATGAGGTCTATGATTCACGAACAACAATCATTATTTATAATAATAAAGAATTGGAAACAACCTAGAAGATGACAAATTTTATTATATCCATATAATGGCAGACTATGCAAATACTAAAAAAATTATGACATCAAAAAATATTTAATGGCAGAAAATTGTTCAATATAGTTCAATGACAAAAGGCAACATATAAAAGTGAATATATAGGGCCGGCTGAGTGGCTCAGTTGGTTAAGAGCTCGCTCAAGAGTTTGAGCTCTGAGCAACAGCGGTTCGAGTCAGCCCGAGCTGAGCAGCCGTGAGCTGCCAACAGGTGGCGGGATGGCTCAGCCAAAAAAAAAATAATCCAAGTTTTCTTTTAAAATACACATATGTATATAAACATACACATAAGAGCAGAAAGAGACACAAAAGAAACAAACACTTAAAAGCAGTAGTTTCTCTTGGTGGTAAGATTATGAGTAATCTTTTATTTTCTATTTTATAGCTTTCTGTATTTCCCAAATTTTCTATCATAAGCAGGAAATACTTTTATAAACAAACAAACAAAAATTAACACTTAAATGCTCCAGTATAGGTAGAACTGAAACTTGGATATAAAGCACAAATGATAATTTAATAAAATATAGATACATACGTTCAAGTTGGGAATCCAATCTGTTTAAGAATTTGATGTTAAAAATGGTCTTTAGCAGGTCTTCTGGAAAATACTCAAGTGTGGCCAAAGAGAAACCAAGAAACACTAACATGAGAGGATCCAAAACAGCTAAAACAAAATTAAGATTTAAAAAAAAATTATAATGTACAGCTATCCCACATGTACATAAGCACACACTTTATTCATGTAAAACCAGTTTTTTAAAAAAGGATACAAACACAGCCTTCATAAAACTAATCTATATTGTGACAATACTGTCAGGATAGGGTGAAGTGGTTACCTTTCGGTGGGGATAGATGGAGTAGGAAAGGGGCACACACGAGAAGAGTACTGTGTGGTATATTCTGTTTCTTGATCTGTGCACTGATTTGTTGGGTGATTCAAGTTGTATGAATTCATACTATATACTAAGGATATGTGAACATTTATTTACTATTATTATCCTTCCATAAAGCTTTTTAATTCCCTTGAAGAGAGAGTTCAAAACTAAAGGCTAATGGTATATATAAAAAGAGGTGATCCCAGTCTTTATGAATTTTCATAATATAACATTGCTCAGAGTGTGTTAGGTACCACTGTAAGCACTTTCCAAATTTAAATCTCACTTCAGTATACAGTAAAAACAATTACTATTTCTGTTCTATAAATGAATGTACTGAGTTACACAGAAGGTAAATGACTTGCCCAAAGTCACACAGTTAGCAAGCAGAGAATGAGATTTAACCTGGAGGTCCAGCTTGGAGTCTGGACCACTATACTGTGCAGCTCTGTAGGGATCTCAGATCTCCAGGCTGAGGGTAGACATGTATGAAGCTCAGATCTCCCCTAGCACCTCCTCCCTTATCTGTCACCCAGCAGCATGGTACATATCTCAGAGTATAGGGCATGAGATAAATTAGGTGATGTGCCTCATCCAAGAGACATTTCTGATGAGAGGGAAGGGGTCATCCAAAACGCCCTATTGCAGCAATATTCTTACAAAGTATAAAATGGACATTAAATATTGTCTTAATAAAGCAAGATCAAGTCATAAACAAGGTTATGATTATCTCCACCAGCAAAACTGATCCTTTAAAACTAATGTTTATTCTAAATAAAGAAATTATTATGTTGTTAGCTATGTAAAATTGTACTTCTAAAAGTCTCCAATAATTTTCCAAACATTCTATCAGTAAATCTTAAAAAAAAAAAACTGTACCTCTCAACATTTCTTTTCTTTAATTTTTTTTTTAAATTGTAATATATAAGCCTCTATTTAGAAGACGTGTACTTTCATTTCCTTCTGACTGTTGAAACATAACTAAACAACCAGGAGAGCACACTCAGTTTCAAGTCTCAATTTCAAGTCTGTTTCAAGTCTCATCTTTCTACATATAGTTGTGCTACTAAAAAGGGGTATGTATGAATGCCACATATGCATACACTTACATCTAAACATAGACATTTTACAGTCCATTTAACTTGTCTATTAGCAGACACAGTAGTACCAGACATGGTTTGACAGTATCTGGCCTATAGATCCCATTGAAGTGTAGCAAAATCTATGAGCATGCTACTGCTACAATTAATGTATTTATAGTGGTCTGTACCAGCTTAACTATTAAAATTGATAGAAACAATCAGATATTATGTATCTCCACATATGATACAAATATTAGGTACACAGCACCACATACAAAGCATTTTTGCTAAAAATGTTTAATGTAAATCTAATCAAGCATCTATAATTAACTTCTAGTTTACTAGAAATGCTGGAGATGGAGGAGCAAGGTTTTAACAGAAAGGAATCAGACAAATCCAAAATGTGCACAATCCACAATAAATGGCCAATCTCTTTTATAGAAACATAAATACCAAGACAAAAAAAGAAAGGAAGAAAGTGACATAACAATTCAATGTTGGCTGCTTTAAAAAAGTTATAAAAGACAATCTGATGAGATTTGGAAAAATTTGATTATAGTAGTAGATGGTACTTGTTCATTTTCTTAAGTGTGATTCTTTACTTCCTTATAACCTATTTAGGGCTAACACTTCAAAT